GATGATCCAGGCCTGCAGGCCGTTGATCTCATACTTGTTGATGGTCCCTGCGGGCGAGACCGGGCCTCAGAGCGCGCCCCGCATGACCGCAGCCGGCTTCGCGGGAACAAAGGCTGAAGCATCATCTTATACAGAAACTGCTGTTTGACACGCTGACCCTGCTGTCTGGCTGCTGTGGATGCGTGCTTGCTTAAATGGTGAGGAGAGTAAGACTACTCCCACTTCAGAGGCCATTAACCTTCCCCGGAGGAAGTCAGTGCTGGCGCCGGGTCAGGCCTTTGGCTGAGGTCTCAAGGCCCCAGCACGAGGGCTCTTTAGGAACTTGCAAGGGGCCGGAAACAGCCCGTATTGGGAGACAAAGAAAGTAAAAGCACATAAGCAGGGACAGCTCCTCCATGGTGGGGCCAGAATTTCAGAGACATTTTCCTTTGGGCCCGCACATAATGATAACAACAACAACAACAATAATAAATGTAACTCCATCTCTCTGAGCGTGGCGTGGCTCCTCTCTGGATTCCGTCACAAAGGCCACGGACGCTGGTTTCCCCTTTTGCTCCAAAGGTGGCCTCACACCTGGCCGGGCGGCTCAGTGCTTGAATGTCGACCTGTGAACCAGGTCAGGGTTTGGCTCCCGGTCAGGGCACAGGCCTGGTTGTGGGGGGCGTGCAGGAGGCAGCGGACCAATGACTCTCTCTCAGCACTGATGTTTCTCTCCCTCTCCCTCTCCCTTCTGCTCTGAAGTCAATAAAAGAAAAGTTATTTGTGTGTTTTAAAGCGATGGCGACCCTGATGCAATCACCAGTGTTTGCAGCCTTGGCTCCTTGGCCACATCGCCCAGCCACAGTGATGCCAGGAGCCGACCGGCCGGCCAGGACAGCCACGGGCGGGCCCTCGTCAGTCAGTCACAGCCAGCGGCTGAGTGACCGGCCTGGCTGCGGTATCGGGCTGGCAGAGAAGCGTGTGGGGGCGTCTGTGGGGAATGGCCCTCCCTCTGGACCCAGCAGGACCCACTGCCGGGCCCCTGGCTTCCTGGAGACCCTGGGGAACAGACAGCCAGCCTCCCCTACACCCACCACATCCCTCTGCTCCGACACCTGAGCTGGGAGAGGCTCCATCAGCCCGGACTGGCACAGCCACGGGCGGCGGCCACGCAGGTCCCTCCACTGAAGGTGACCTTCGACCTCCGGCCCGGGACGCCCGCTGCTCTTGGTGCTGGGGACGCTGGGACACCTGCCGCCGTGAGAGGCCCTTGGGGGGATGGGGACGGACGCGCTGAGCCGGCGTTACCTGCGGGAGTCACGGCGCCCTCCTGGACGCCGCCCACGTAGCCGGGCAGGACCTTGTGGCACAGGTCAGGCAGCGCCACGTACAGGAGCACCTGCGGGAGAGTCCGCTGAGTGGCTGGGCTCTGCTGGCTGAGCAGCGGGTGTGGGCCCCGAGGGCTGAGGTCCCCACCGGGCGGGGCGGTGACTCCTCCCAGGTCCGCTCCCAGCCGCCCAGCGGCCCTCCCCAGCCTCGGGCGGCTCCCCCGGTGGGTGGGCGTGGGGCCCCCTGTGCGGGAGGCGGCGGCTACCCCTGGGCCCCGGGCACCGTGGCAGAGGGCGCCGCCGCTGGCAGGCAGCACACCCGCCCCGCCCCGCCCCGCGGAGGCCCACCTGGAAGGAGACCCACAGGGCGTAGATCTGCGCGGCCTCCCTGGTCAGGCCCGGCGTCTTGGCCCAGATGTCGGAGAGGCGCACACGGCCGGCGGCCAGGTCCCACACCGGCGCGGAGAGCGAGCAGGCGTACTGGTCGCACGCCATGATGAAGAAGTACACGATGAAGGGCGCGAACAGCAGCAGGAACAGGACGCTGGCCAGCGAGAACCAGTCCACCTCCCTGCGGGGGCGAGAGGGGCCGGTCAGGGGCCATCCCCGCCCTCTGGCCATGCCAGCCGGCACTCCGAGAGGCGGCCCTCAACGTGCACTCCGGCCACGCAGGGGGCACGTGGGTGCCCACCCAGGGCCCAGGTCCGGACACAGCGAGGTGGCTGGGGGCTGTGGGGGACGCACAGTCACCCCTCAGCCCCAACGCCCAGGACAGCCAGCCGGTGAGTGTGTCTCCACCTCCTCTGTCCACCGGCCTCGCTCACAGCCGCCCCCCTCCCTCGGCCTCCACGGGAGACGCTGCGATGGCCCGGGACAGGCCCAGCCAGCCCCTCCCAGCCCCGCGCTGCCCCCGGCGGCGTCATGCCAGCATCCTTACCAGGCGCGGCCCCACTGCCCCTGGGCCGCGGCCCCGCTGCTGGCAGCACTGGAGTGGGGGTCGCTGGGCCGGAATCTGGCTGCCATGGGTCCTGAGGAGAGAGACACTGCTCAGAGGGTCCCCGAAGGCAGAGCTCGCCCTGCTGCCAGGACCGGGGCCCGGGGGCTGCCCCCCTTCCTGTCTCTCCTCCGTGTCCTGGCGGCAGAGTCCCCCAGGGAGGCGGCCAGCCCAGCTCAGACGCTCCTGGGACCTGCGCCCCCCGCCCCCGCCCCCCGCCCGCCTCTCCTCCGACAGACAGCAGAGCCCCCTCTTGCTGAGGAACGGAGCCTGTGCCACCGGCTCCTGCCCGCTGCCCGCTGCCCCCGGCCCCGGGCCCCCGCCCACGTGGGAAGCAGAAGGGCCGCGGGAGGGAGGAGGGAGCCGTGAACGTGGGGTGTCCGAGCGCGGAAAGCGGCTGCACGGAAGCAGCTCCTCGAGGATGGGGAACGCTCAGCGCGGGCGGGGAGGGCGCCTGACGCGGGGAGAAGGGGTGCCTCCCGCGGGCGGGGCGGGTGCAGAGCTCACGCCCAGAGTCACCTGGGCCCACACAGCGAACGGGCAACACACGTGTCACATGGTGACCGCGGGCGGCCCGGGGGCGGACGCACCTGCTGTGGTCCTCACGGCGGGGAGGGCGCTGTGTCCACGCTCCGGGCGCCCACGGCCTCCGTCACGGGGCCACGCAGCCTGGCGCTCCTTCCGGCAGAGCCCGCGAGCAGTCCTGCCGGGACAAAGGTGCAGAGGACACTCAGGAGCTGACCCCCGGGACCCTGGGCACACGCTCGCCGCTCGGGCCCCCTCACCGCAGCGGCTCTGCCGGCACACGCAGGGCCCGGAACGGCCGGTACTAACAAGGGGGTGGGGGTGTGTGGACGGCAGACACAGCCCTGGCCAGTGAGGCTCAGTGGGGAGAGCACCGGCTCTCGGAAGGGTCCCAGGTTCGATTCCGGGTCAAGAGCCTGTATCTCGGGGGCAGACTGAAGCCCTGGCCCTGGTCCAATCAGCGTCTCTCACATCGGTGCTCCTCTCCGCCTCTCCCCCTCCCTTCCATTCTCTGAAAAGTCCATGGGAAAAGATGCTTGGGTGAGATCTAATAATAACGAAAATAAATAAATGGAAGAAATAAAAGAAGATAAACAGGCAGAGGCAGACTGGGAGAGCCACAGACCCAAAGACTCACACCAGCAGCCCGCGCTCCCGCCCGCCGCTGCCCACCTCCCCTGTGCCGAGCCCAGCGGCAGTTTGAGGAGCCGGGAGCCGCCCGCCCGGAGCCGCCGGGTAACGGCTCTGCACGCCCTCCTGTGTCCGGGCACATGCCCACGCACACGCGGTTCTGCGGTCAGAGCTGAAGAGAAGGGAGGGTGTGTGAACCTCGCCTGGCCACGGAGTGGCGCCACGGGAACCGAGGGGCTGGCACCCCCCCCCCCCCCCCGCACCCCCACAGCTCCCTCAATGGGAACCTGAGCTCCAGAAACAACAGCTGAAGAGCGTGGTCCTGGGCATCTGGGGTGACGCGGTGACGCGGCTGAGGGTCAATGTCTGGTTGCTGCCCGGCCCGCGTGGCTCAGGGCTGAGCGTCGACCGAGGAACCAGGAGGTTCGAGTCCCGGTTGGGGCACTTCCCGGATTGCGGGCTCCATCCCCAGTGAGGGGCGTGCAGGAGGCAGCCGGTCCATGACTCTCTCTCATCATGGATGCTTCTCTCTCCTCCCTCCCTCCCTCCCTCTCTGACATCAATAAAAATGTTTAAAAAAGAATGCTTTTGATTGCTGATCCGTTGTTTCAGATACATCCATCCTTTACTAAATGTTTACGTCGTCAGGCCCATGGCAGCTTTCGGGGCGTCTGAGGGTGTAGGAATGCGGGGCTGCTCCACAGACCCACGGCCGGGGGCTGGGGCGGTGACTGCCCAGGGGCCCAGGGGTCACGGCCAAGGCTGCGCCTCCTGGCAGGACCCACTCCTGCTGCCGCTCCGCCCACCAGGGTTCCGGTGTGTGACCGGAGCGCCTTCTCACACTCGTCACGGAAATGAGGTTGGGGTGCTGAGGGGCCCCCCCCCTGAGTTCCCCTAAGAGCATGACCACAGGGCTACCTGGTGCCAACACTGCCCTCCCTGGGACCATGCCAACACGGCACCCACGCCACTGTGGGGGTCGGTGGGCCCGGGAGGCTCGGGTTCCCACTGGCCCTGAGGGGGTGCGCCCACAGCCCCCTCGTGTTTGGTTACCCCTCAGTGCAGTGGCTTACACAGTCTTACAGCCCCTCACTGTTTCTGTGGGTCGGGAATTGGGGAGACCTGGCCAGGCAGCCATGACTGGGTGTCCCGGGGCGGCTGCCATTCAGAGGGTCCCCCGGGAGTTAGGGGGGGTGTCCCCCACAGCACGGTGGCCTTGGGGCCGGGGGAGGGGGCGGTTGGGGACCGGCGAGGCTCCCGCCCGCGGGACAGAAGCTGCCTTTCCTGACCACCCCTCCCCGAACACGCCGCCTCTTGGGGAGGTGGGAGCGTCAGGGACACAGCTGTGGGGCCGCCCCAGGCAGTGAGGAGCTCCGAGCACCTGCCCGGCCGCCACCCAGGCCGCCCCAGGCCCGCTCAGCCCGTTTCCCAGGCAGACGGGGCGCAGCTGGAACCGGGAGCCCCACGCGCCAGGCCATCCCCGCGGCCATCGGGCGGTCTGCTCCGGAAGGCGTGGCGCAGACTGAACCGCGGCAGCTGTGCACCGGACTTCGGACGGCACCAGCGCCAGACCCAGGACCCCGAGGGGGGCAGCTGCTCGGGGGGCCAGGCAGGCGCCCCCCACACCCGTCCGCCCCGGAGGTCCGGGCCATGCACAGGGGGCAGCGCCCCTGCGGGGGCGAGAGCCACGGCGGGTGAGCTGTGCACACGGAACACGTGGGCGGCGGCACGCCCTCGCTGAGATCAGGTGCGCCATCGGTGAGATCAGGTGTGCCATCGGTGAGATCAGGTGTGCCATCGGTGAGATCAGGTGTGCCATCGGTGAGACCAGGTGTGCCCTCGCTGAGATCAGGTGTGCCCTCGGTGAGACCAGGTGTGCCCTCGGTGAGACCAGGTGTGCCCTCGCTGAGATCAGGTGCGGGCGGGCACGCCCATCCACCGGCACACGGCCGAGGACAGGCCGCCATGAGAGACGGTTTAAAAAGCCAGGGACCAAACCCCTAAACTGGCCACAGGGGGTTCTCCCTCTGTGCCCCGTCTTCTGGCAGAAATGCACTCGTTCTCTAAATATGTGTCCGCGTCACTGCCATTCTGCCCGCATTCCCAGTATTTCTTCCCACGTCCTCCAGTCTGCCCCTGCGCACTCCCCGGGCTCATCCGCACCGCACAACCTCGTTTGTCAGCACTCTGCTCTGAAGCCGAGGAGCTACAAGCACTTGCCTCCCAACTACGGTTTACTGTCTGGTGCTCTCTTCAGTGAAGTCCAGTGAGCTGTTAGGATTCTGAGTGAAGATGCACAACCCCGGGAACGTGTGTGTGGCTCTAACTGTGGGTCCCCGGTCCCCACCGGACGGTGGGAGGGCTGTCGGGGTGATGGGGTTCACCTGAAGCCGCCTACACCCCGCCCCGCCCTCCGCAGGCTGTGTGGGCCAGAGATGGGCGTGCCCGAGGGGGAAGGAAAGGCAGCTCAGGCTCGGCTCCGAGAAGCCGGACCCTCCGCGCCCAGTATCACACAGGTTAAAGGTCAGACACGCGGGCCCCGCCCAGGCAGCACAGCCCCCGCAGGGATGCGTGAACTCTGGCCCGCCTTCTCCCCCGCAGTGTCCCAGCTCTTGCCCAACACACACCCACACGCCGCCTCCTTCCCACACCCCGTTCCCACCCAAAGCCTCGGCTTCTCCCCTCGGCCCTGCCCGGGCACGGCCACCAGCCACCCACGTTCACAATACGGTGGCCAGGCGTCCTGCTTTTCCACAATCTGTCCTGAGGCTAAAAAATAGGGACTTTTTAAAACACCGCAGGACAAATGGTTAAAAATCGGGACTGTCCCACCCGAAGCAGGAGTCTGGTCACCTTACTCTACAACCCCCCCCCCCCCAATCAGGGGAGGGGGCTGTCAGGAGTCCAGTGGGATGTGGCTGGGTTCCGCCTGCACACCCAGCGGCTTTCCCGGGGCAAAGTGTCTGCAGGCGGAGACTCCATCCTCCCAGACCGGCCCTGCTGCCTCCTGCGCCCTCAGAGGCCCAGCCTGCCCGGCCGAGCTCCCCAGCTCCCGCAGCCGGACAGCCAGCCGGACAGCCAGCCCCGGCCGGGGTCTGAGGCCCCCACAGCCCTCGGCAGGTGCCTGGCGCCGGGACACCCCGGGCAGCGACAGGCCACACGCTGCTCTGGACGGAAACGCCCCCCATCGCCTGCGCCCTCCTCTCGGGGCCTCTGGTCAGAAGCCTTCCCGGACCCGTGGGACCCCCCCCCAGTCACCGACCCGGGAGAGGCCGGTGTCCTGGGGCCTGAAGGGAGAGAGGGCCCCACTGACCCTTCCAGGGAGCGGGGAGCGCCTCCCCGGCCTCCAGCAGCTCCTCCGCGATCTCCCCATCAGAACCGGCCCCGGGGGCGCCCCCCAACGCCCGGGAACACGGCGTCCCGTAGGGCGGTCCGCGGTGAGCCAGCCGCGCCCCCAGTCCCGGCCTCCCCGCCCCAGGCCGCCGCGACCCCCGCCCTGCGCGCGGCTCCGGAGCCCGGGCCCGGCCTCACCTGCGCGCACCGCCCCCGCCCCGGCCCCTCCGCCCGGCCCCTCCGCCCCTGCGCGCGGCTCCGGAGCCCGGGCCCGGCCTCACCTGCGCGCACCGCCCCCGCCCCGGCCCCTCCGCTCCGACCCCTCCGCCCCCGCCCCTCCGCCCCGGCCCCTCCGCTCCGACCCCTCCGCCCCGGCCCCTCGCCCCGGCCCCTCCGCCCCGGCCCCTCCGCCCCGGCCCCTCCGCCCGGCCCCTCCGCCCCTGCGCGCGGCTCCGGAGCCCGGGCCCTCCGCTCCGGCCCCTCCGCTCCGGCCCCTCCGCCCCGCCCCTCCGCTCCGGCCCCCCCGCCCGGCCCCTCCGCCCCTGCGCGCGGCTCCGGAGCCGGGCCCGGCCTCACCTGCGCGCACGCACCCGGCGCGCGCCCCCGGCCCCGCACCCGCGGCCGCTCACCTGCGCCCTGTGATCCGCCACCTCCGCGGCGCGCGCAATCCGAGCCGGCCGGAGCCCCGCCCCGCGCTCACGTGGTGCGGCGGGCGGCCAATCGGAGGCGGTTCCTGCGCGCCGAGCGCCCCGGCACCCCGCGATTGGCCGCAGGGCCTCGCCCCGCCCCCTGGGCTGACGCCGGGCCATCGCACGCGCCAATCCGCGGGGATCCCGGCGGGAGATTGACGGCCGGGGGCCGCCCGGGGCCGCCCTGCCGGCGAAGGGCGGGAAGCCCGCCCGGGGGCGGGGTAAGCCCGGGAGATCGCGGGCGCTGCGGGCCCCGCGCCCCCGTCCGCCTCTGCCAGGGGCCTCGGAGCAGGGCAGGCAGAGCGGGCGGGGGCCGGGGCGGGGCGCAAACACTCCGGATCAAGGCGACCAGACGCCCCGCTTTTGGCGGGACAGTCCCGATTTTTAACATTGAAAGTCACACCGAAGCCGGTGTTGCTCCGTGGACAGAGCGTCGGTCTGCGGACTGAAGGGTCCCACGTTCGATTCCGGTCAAGGGCATGGACCTTGGTGGCGGGCACATCCTCAGTGGGGGGTGTGCCGGAGGCAGCTGGTCGATGATTCTCTCTCATTGCTGTTTCTAACTTTGTCTCTCTCTCTCTCTCTCTGAAAAAATCAATAAAATATATATTTTTTAAAAACACAATTAAAATCGGGACTTTTTAAAAACGCCGCGGGACATATTGTTACAAATCCGGACCTCTGGTCACCTTACACCAGATGCCTCTCTGGGGCGCAGGCAGTAACCGGTAGACAAGCGGGTGCACTGGAGTCAGGTGCGCGGAGGGCGGGCGAGGCCGCAGGCGCGCCCAGGTGTGTGGGGAGCGGAGTGGGGTTTGGGGCTGGCAGGCCGGGCTCTCTGCCGGGAGGGAGGCCGTCGCAGGGCGGTTCCCGGGAGGTGGCTGGACCTGGACCTTAGGGTGTTGGTCACCCCCGTGCAGAGATGGGGAGTGGGGGGGTGGGGAGGAAGCCGCATGGCTGGGCACGGCCCTCGGCCTTGGCCAAACGCATGGGAAGCTGGGATGGACAGAGAGCCCCTCAGGGCTGCCCCGCTGGGCAGGGAGGGCCCGACCCTGCGCTCAGGCCTCCCCCGTCACCGGACACCCATCGGTCTGGGCCACGGGGCATCCTTGCAAGGGTGTGACCTTGAGCTAGGCCGCTGTGCAACCGGGCGGCCCTGGAGAGGGTGGGCAGCTGCAGGCCCGCAGGACCCCGCTTCCCACATCGGGTGCCAGGGGCATCCGCGTGGCACCTCTGTGCTCCTCACAGAGACCCTGGTTTTTCTGCAATTTTTTTATTTACAAAAAATATCAAACCAACCAGCCAGTTGAACATACACTGAAGGGGCGCCCCTCCACGGAGACTCCGAAGATTCATCGTTCCCCTCCCGCTGTGTGTGTGACCCCCACCCCCCGGGGGAATCAGCGGCCCTCGACACTCCCTCCTAAACCCCAGCCCCGAGTCCTATAAACCAAGGCGTTCTCCTTCCTGGCTGGAAGTTACCACACGGCACCGCCGGCACCCACCGTCTTCTCCGTGTTCCGTCCCCCCTGTGCCGGCTCCGTGCCTTCTAGCTTTTCTAAAACCCCAGGATCCTGCCCGGAACCCACGGGGGCACTTCCTGCCATGGCTCCTGAGCCTTCCTGAGCCTGGCGCGGGGCCCAGGCTGCTAACTCGCGTGTTGCATCTCTCCGGGCCTCCGTGCCAGGCCGGTTCAAAGAGCCGCGGCCGCGTCGCTGCTGGCTGGCGTGGGCTTGGCTGCTCTCCTCGCCGGGCACGTAGGCTGCGCCCTTCGGGGCGGGATCCCGGGCGGCCTGCGGGCTGTCCTGTCCCCGCGTCCCAGCAGGAGGGCACCGGCCACCTTGTCCGCCGGCCGAGGGGCAGGGGGGCTGTGTGGACCGGGAGCTTTGCCTCCATGCTTCCTCGCGTGGTTAATAAGTAACCGATGCAGTGACACTTTGAGACGGGGTCCACCGTTCACCCGGCCACCCAGCAGTTAACCGCGGCTCTTGCCAGCTACTGAGTCAGAGTCTCTTTCCCCTAGCCAAGGCCACTTAGGAGCAAATAACGTACACGCCAGACCGAGCGCGTCAAACTCCAAGGCTGACACGGGCCAGATAAACAAGGTTAGAGTGGATGTGGCCGCAAAAGACAAAAGCTTCAATTTTCATTGAAACGTGGGTTCATTTCGGTAGAGACATGCTGAAGACAAAGGGCTGAAATAAATGAGTCATCGTTAGCACAGAATAATAGAACGTTTTACTTTACTTTTTTTTAAAATGTATTTTATTGATATTTCACAGAGAGGAGGAAGGGAGAGAGCTAGAGAGCTAGAAACGTCGATGAGAGAGAAACATCAACCAGCTGCCTCTTGCACACCCCCTACCGGGGATATGCCCGCAACCAATGCACATGCCCTTAACCAGAATCGAACCTGGGATCTTTCAGTCCGCAGGCCGACGCTCTATCCACTGAGCCAAACCGGCCTCGGCTTATTTTACTTATTTTTTATTTTTAAAATATATTTTATTTTACTTATTTGAAAAGTGTGTGTGTGTATATATATATATATTTTTTTTTATTTATTTTTTTTTTTTTACAGAGAGGAAGGGAGAGGGATAGAGAGCTAGAAACATCGATGAGAGAGAAATATCCATCAGCTGTCTCCTGCACATCCTCCACCGGGGATGCGCCCACAACCAAGGTACATGCCCTTGACCAGAATTGAACCTGGGACCCTTCAGTCCGCAGGCTGACGCTCTATCCACTGAGCCGAGCCAAAGCGGTTTCCACATAATAGCACATTTTAATAAAAGTCAATATTTTTTCTTGAACATTCACTTACCAGACGCTGAATAACTGCACAGATTAATAAGCGTAATGCAAATAAACCTATTTTTCTAGTTCTCCGAAAGGGAAATATTTCCTGTTGCTCACACCAAACAAGTCAGTCCTACACTAAAGATGTGGCCACCGGCTGCTATAATAAATATTCTCTCTTCGTTATTAGTGGAGAGAAATGGTGCGCCTGCGCATAAGGCATGTAAGGGAAATGAATGCAACACGTTCATAACCATCAGTCCTTAGCGAGCATTGTAGTTTGTTATTAGTAATTATGTGTAACAGGATATTGTAAACATTAAGTTACAAAATTTTTATTAAAACGTTTTTTACACCCTGGCCGGTTTGGCTCAGTGGCTGGAGCGTTGGCCTGAGGACTGAAAGGTCCCGGGTTCCATACTGGTCAAGGGCACAGGCCCGGGTTTCGGCTCCATCCCCAGTAGGGGGCGTGCAGGAGGCAGCCAATCAGTACTTCTCTCTCATCACTGATGTTTCTATCTCTTGTTTCCTCTCCCTTCCTCTCTGAAATCAATACAAATATTTAAAACAAAAACAAAAACGTTTCTTACATACCGTTATCTCGGCGGGGCCGCAAAAGTATTCCTTGTGGGCCGCATGCGGCTCTTGGGCCGCGAGTTTGACATGCTCGCTCCAGGCAGTCCTGGCCCCTCTTCCATGACATTCTTTAAAGATGAAACTGCCGCCGAAATCCGTGTTGCTCAGTGGATAGAGCGTCCTGGGTTGGATTCCAGTCAAGGGCATGTGCTGGAAACCAAGTCCGTTTCAGCTGGGAAAGAGATGTTGACAGGAAGCAGGAAGGCTGGTCAACAACCTCAATTGCTTTAACCTTTAGGTGAGATTATGTTAAGTTGAAGCAGCTGTTAAGCCTCAATAAAAGGGGGTGGCAGGGCCAGAGCAGTCGTAGTTCTCCCACTAGAGTTGGACTACCGCCTGGCCCCCCAAGTCGCCAAATTGAATTTCTTCAAGTCTCTTTTCACTTGTGTGCGGCCCTTCTCCAGAAGCTGAACCCTGAATTGGAACTCTTTCTACGCCGGCGTGGAAGAGAGTCCAATATCTGGCGCCCTACGTGGGGCTTCTGGAGGAGAAGGTATTTTTCGCCTAGAGCGAAGGAGGAAAAATACACCGAGAAAAGGTGTGGAAAATTCACCAGGAAAAGGTGTGGAAAATTCACCAGAAAAAGGTGAGGGAAGATTCACCAGAAAAAAGGTGAGGGATATTCACTGCACTCAAAGCCCACGGCCAGCTGCAGAGTCGCGAACTGTAAGCAGGGTGGGAACGTCTTTTTTCAGCCAGGCTAATGGGGAAGAATTAGGTTATAAATATCAAGTAAACTGTATTATAGATTTTTGGTTTGTAAACTTAAAGAATGTGGTTTCTTGTTCAAATTAAAATCTTAGTCTGTATTTGGAATTTAAAATCTGTAATAAGAAATGAGACTCCACTGCTGAAACCGCCTCTGGTGCGGAGAAATTCAAAGGTGGCAGGAGAGGGCAGAGCCATCTGCTCTCCGAAAATGAGATTACTTAATGCTTTGTTTAAAAGTTATAAAAGAACCTGCAAACTAGGTGTTATCTTGACCAAATTGGGTGATAGTTATTACTTCAGAAAGCAAAAGAGAAAGAAAAAAATTTTTGAGATCTGTCTTTATCTTTTAAGCATGAAAAAATGTGTGGCCAGATCTGTTGAAACTTCTCCCAAAGTAAGCTTGATGTGGGGGAAGGAAAGAGACACAAGGCAATCCTATAAGGAAGACCACTCTCTCAGTAAGCTAAGGAATGTGGTAACTTGCATTTGAATGGCTACAAACTTCCTCCAAATTCCTGTGGCAAAATTTTTGTGGAAGTTTGCTTACTTATAAAAATAAGTAAAGTTTAAATTTGCCTCATAAAAAATCTAGAGGACAGAATGGAAGCTCTTAATTGATTGTCTTGTATTTTTCTTAGAAATGTAAAGTGTCATTAATCTAGGACATGCAATATATATTTGATTTGCCAGCTTTAAAAGTTCAAAGTGCAAATTAAATTGGGAGAAATTATATAGTTGTGGTAATTAAAATATCTAAAGTATAACTTGTTTTTGAGAAAATAAATGTGTTTTCTCTAATAGGAATTAAAAATAAGTTGCTTATTATTGGTCTAATTTAAAAAAAAGGATTAATTCTGTGATCTCAACCAAATATTT